TTTCAATACCGAGGTAGTATGTGACCCGAAATAAGTCATCTCAAATTCCTTCCGCATTTGCTACTTGAACTCTTTCACACCTTCCACACTTATACTAGTAATGATCAGGTCATTAACATACACGTCCACTATGAGTGTTTATACTCCATTATTTCTTGTATACATTGTTCTTGTGAGCACTTCATGAAATTTAGACTCTTTAAGCACTTGTCCAAATGTATGTTCTACGCTCTCGGTGCTTTCCATAAACCGTAAAGGGCCTTTGACAACTTGTACACTTTGTGCTCTTCAGTTTTGATGATGAACCCTTTGTTGGTTATATCGTGAGTGGTCGCTGAATTGTAGCAAGAAAGTTGTTATTTTTTTATTATATAAGGAAAATGGTGTAAGGTAGTGAAACAACACAAAAAAAGAAGATATGTTTAATTTGTGTCTTTGCTCCTTATCCCCTTCTGTTATTTTTTTCTTTCAATTGGTATCAAAGCTACAAGATCAAGGCTTGTTTTCAATCATGTCTCACCTAGAGATTTAGCGGTCAAAAAGGGAGAGAGATAAAAAATGAGATAGGAATTGAGTGACAGGAGCAAAGCATCGGTGCGATAGAAGATGATGCCTCAAACAAAGTGAGTGTACGGATTCAAGAAAAGGAGGGACCTATCACACCCAAATACCCGATGTTGACAAAATGCAACTATGCAGCTTGGACGATTAAGATGGAGGTATTTATGATGGCACAAGGTGTTTGGGAGGCAATTGAGTCACCCAAAACAGTAGATAATCGCAAAGATAAGATGACTTTAGCAGCTATTTATTAAAGTATTGGAGAAGATACGTTGCTACAGTTGGGTGCCAAGAAAACGGTGAAGGATGCCTAGATCATGTTGAAAAATATGAATCTAGGTGCAGAAATAGTGAAAGAAGTTAGAATGCAGACTCTCTGGCGGGAGTTTGAAGCGTTGAGGATGGGTGATTCAAAAAGTATTGATGAGTAATCTGGAAAACTTACCATTATTGTCAACAAATTGAGAGGCCTCGACAATGCGGTGGATGATATCCAAGTAGTTAAGAAACTTCTACAATCCACCTCTGCAAAGTTTCTTCAAATCACTTTGACGATTGAGAAGTTCAGTGATCTCAAACGAAATTGGTTTGATGAGATTATTGGATCACTCAAGGCACATGAAGAAAATTTGCGAGGGTTTGGAGAAAAAGATGAAATTGTTTTCCTCACTCGTGCAGAATGGAAGGAACGAGAGGATGCAAAATCCTCAAAGAAAGAATGGAAGGATCAAGGTAGTTCTAGAGGAGATAGGGAATGGGGTCGTGGAAGATGGAGAGGCCATGGGAGAAGTGACTAGCATTGAGGAGATGAAGGAGAGTCACAAACTCAGAAGAAGAAATTTGACAAAAGTAAAATTAAATGTTACAGGTGTCAGTAGATGGGACACTTCGCATCAAAGTAATCCACAAAAGACAAACAACTCAACTTAATAAAGATGCAAAAGGATGAGGTGTTTTTATTGCTGACGATAGAGGCGTGTGAAATTAAAACCACAGACAAAGAGCCTGATTTTGTGATGTTGAATGAAACTATAGTGTTGGAAAGGTACATTTCGATGATAACTCTGTAATAGATGTTGACTTCTGGCAATTGAGAGGAAAACATTGACGAGTAAAAACCAGCCAAAGGAAAACTTCAAAGAAAAAAAATAACAGAAAAGAAAAGAGAGAGATATTTGCTGAAGACCCGATGATTTATTTGATTCAGTTTAACGTATTTAAATAACAAACCTATCCTAAATTTAGCAGTAGTGAGCACAAAACTTGTGCCCAACGTTGCCAAAATGGCTAGCAAAAATTACACTCTTCCATTAAACGGCGAGCGTGAATTCAGATTTTTCAAAAGTCAAAAACAACTCACGAAATCTAAGGGAACCATAACTTTTATCTAACAATCTCCTCCTAAAAGCTGTGGTATATCTACCTTATTATTTGAACTCCGATTTTTTAGCGTAGTTCTTCAAATTTTACCCGTGCCAGGGACTTGGAGAAAATATCTCCAAGCTGTTCCTCTGTTTGGATGAAATCAATCTTGATGAGCCCTCGATTTGCACATTCTCGAAAGTAGTGGAATCTGATTTCTATGTGTTTGCTCCGATCGTGCAAAACTGGATTTTTGATCAGGGAGATCATAGCTTTGTTGTCCACGTATAGCATTGGTGGATCGCTTTCTCTTCCGATGAGTTCTTCCATCATTAGCGCAAGTCAGACCCCCTGTGTTGCCGCCGTCGAAGCGGTGATGTATTCTGCTTCGCAGGAAGCAAAGCAACTACCTTTTGTTTTGTTGATTGGCAGCAGATCGCGCCACCTGAGAAGAAGTAGATCATCTCGTTGGTGCTCTTACGATCATCAACGTCATCGACCATGTCACTATCACTGTAGCCGACTAGCTCAAGCTTCTCATTTCCTCTCCCTGTGCAGTATCTTACACCCCAGCCTCCGGTTTCGGCTATATAGCGTAGGATGCGCTTGACAGCCACTAGATGCTCCTCCCTAGGTGCTTCCAAAAACCTACTCACATATCCAACAGAATAAGCAAGATCAGGACGTGTGTTTACCAGATAGCACAAACTCCCGACAATTCTGCGGTAATTGGTGGAGTCGACTGCCGTCATAGTGCCGGCCTTCCTCAGCTAGAGTCGGGCCTCCATTGGCATCCTTGTAGGTTACTGTCTGCTAGCCCAACAGTGTCTAGCAGCTTCTTTGCGTATGCACTTTGACAGATGGTGATGTCGGCAGTACTGTATTGCACTTCGATGCCGAGGTAGTAGCTGAGTACGCCGAGATCGCTCATCTTGAAGTTCTTTGACATCTCCCTCTTGAATCTTCCAAGGACTTCCATGTCGCCTCCAATGATTATGAGGTCGTCGACGTACACTCCCACAATCCGTCGCTGCTCGTTGTGGCCAAGCGTGTACATGTCATGCTCAGAGGCACAGCGCTTGAACTTCAGTGACAGTAGGGTACTGTCGAGCTTTGCGTTCTAGGCTCGTGGTGCTTGCCTAAGCCCGTAGAGTGCCTTGTGTAGGTGCAGTACTTTACCGGGGTTGTCGTTGTCCAGAAAGCCAGGTGGTTGTCGGACGTGGACAGTCTCCTTCATCTCTTCGTTAAGGAAAGTGGACTTCATGTCCATGTGGTGGACCTCCCACGAGCAATGTGCCGTGATTGCTAGCAAAAGATGGATGGATTCTAACCTTGCCACTGACGCAAATACCTCTTCAAAGTCCACTTCTTGCTTATAGACGTAGCCCTTCACCACCAGATGGGCCTTATGCTTCACAACTTCTCCCTTTACATTGCGCTTCATTTTGATGACCTATTTGAGCCCTATGGCTCTGTGTCCTGTGTCCCGGTGGCATATCTTCCAGACTCCACGTTTGGTTCTTGGTGATGGATATCATCTCCTTCTGCATTGCCTTCAGCAAGCACGGGTTCCTTTCTGCTTCGACGAAGGTGTTCGGTTCATCTACGCTGATGGCATGCAGTTTGGCCACCTCTTGTTTGAGTTCACAGGCCGCTAGTCTAAGTGGTTCACCTCCTAGCACTAGGTTGTCCATCCTCCGGTACTTGGTCACCAGATCATCATCGTGATCGTCATCTAGCGTCGAATCTACAGTTCATGGTGTTACAAACTCCACTGGTTCAGGGGGTGCAGCTGCTGGCGGCGGTGATGGTTCCTGATGTTGTGCTCCTCCTTCTTCCTGCTCGGTGACGAGGCACTCCACTGTGAATTGATTTGATTGTAGTCTGCCTCGATCACGTCGTTCCACTGCTAAAAGGTGCTTTCATCGAAGATGACATCACGAGACACGTGAGCTCGCCCCCTCGCAGGATATAGAGTCTGTACGCCTTGCTCCCGGGTTCGTAGTCGATGAAGACAACTTTTAGCCCCCTGGGATCGAGCTTGGCGAGGTGGGGATGCGCTACCTTCATGTATGCAACACAGCCGAACACTCGGAGATGATGTACCGCTTGCTTCGTGTTGTACCAGACCTCGTGTGGTATCTTCCCGTCCAGGCTTCACGTTGGTGAACGATTGAGGAGGTAGACTGTCGTCATTACCGCCTCTCTCTAGAACCTCCCAGGCATCCCGGCCGTCATCAACAATGACCTTGCTGTCCCGATGATGGTCCAATTTTGGCGTTCCACCACCCCGTTCTGCTGGGGGGAGTAGGGAGTCGTTAGTTGTCGTTGCATGCCGAGCTCGTCGCAATACTTACCGAAGTTCGCTGAGGTGAATTCTCTGCCTCGGTCCGTGCGCAGCATTTGCATCTTCTTCCCGCATTCGGTCTTCGCTCGTGCCTGGATGAGCTTAATCACCTTTGCCGCCTCACTTTTCGCTTGCAGCAGGATTAGCCATATGAAGCGGCTTTTGTCATCGACCAGCAGGAGGAAGAGGGTCTTATCGCTTGGGGTTGCCAGCTCCAATGGCTCACCGACGCGGTAGGATCTCCGAGACGGAAAGGGGGTGCACCTCTGTTTGTAGATGACGCACCCTGTAACGATACACCTTTCCAAGGGAGAAAAAAATGCCGAAACGGACCCACGCAGGCCCTCTTAAACCCTAGGTGCGGCTGCCTCCTTTAGGTAGGAGCAGATGCCACGGGACTTCGAAGCAAGGAGAGGCAGACACGCCACCGGAGACGGACGAACGACGACGCTTCCACCGGCGACGGTAGCCAAGCTCCTCGATTAGGGTTTTCAGACGAGGAAGACGAAGCGGCAGGCGTGGGTCGACCCACGACATTCTGTGAGTCGTCTCGGCCAGCGTGCAGCCCGTACCTCGCAGGCCGCACTCGGACACCACCTCTAGGCCTCGTTCCCTTTCGGCCCAAATCGGAGGCACGCCTAGAAACCGTGCACCTACAGTGTTCTTCGTAGCCGTCGGCTTTAGCTCCATTGGCGGCTCCGTGCACTCCCGACTCGGCTAGGTTTGGCTTGGCAGTACGGCTCGGCGGCGCAGCTTGGCGGCTTGACATTCAAATAGGATATCGATTCCTAGGTTTTCGACCCTTCTGGAGCCATTCCCATCCTAGTTTCAACCATCTGAGGTCAGTACCACTCCATTTTGACAAAATAGTTTGCAATAGGGACGTACCTTGGTAGCTAGGCATAAGTGATAGTGGTGAAAGGGCTCTAAGTGTATCATGTTATCTTATAGGAGGTAGTTAGGCGCCGAAGTTAGCGTTGTGGGTGACTTCGGCCAAGGCCAAGGAGGTAAGTAACCCTACTGTTGGCGTGAGTTATGCCATGTTTATGTTTGTGATTCTGGCAGTGAAATGCTATGCATGCCATGTTTATGTATATAACATTTGTGACACGGTTGCTACCCTGTATGTATGAGCTTGATTGACATGTCGTGATTGTAATGAGAACCCCACATGCCATGAATGAGATGACTAGTATGCTATGATATGCTTTTTCAATGCTGACCCAATTATGCTATGTAATGCTGTGAGGGGATGGAACGTTGTATGTATAATGCCATAGAAGTAAACCCTAAGAACCTCATGCATACTATGGTTATGTACTAGGGCACTCCCCCCTTATGCTACTGATGGTATGGACGCGTATGTTCAATATTGTGTTCGCCACGATATCATGCAGGCCCTCCTTTGTCCGTGGCGTCTGGTATTGTATGTCATACATACCCAACCAAGCCAGGCCTAGGGAGTTCGCTTGCGAGCTCACCTTGTGGGCCCACAGTCACACGCGTGGGCCATGTGTGGGAAGGTACCATGCATCCACCCCCGCCCAGACAAAGCAAGGGCCTAAGGCCATGGGAAGGAATGGAAGATAGACCCCTCTCACGGTTTCTTTCTTTTAACACTTGTGCTCATGTAGGTGTATTGTGTGCGATAAGTATGTGTATTGTGTGCAACTGCTGGTATCCGTATGTATGATTATGTGCTTACCCCAACAATGGGGCGTCTTATTGGGTATTGTATATAATACTCAAGCCACGTGCTACCCATATTTTCAGGTAAGGGCAAGGCTCTCATGTACGGCTGACGGTGGATGCTGCGAAGGCCATGGAAATCTTGAGGAGAGTTTGTAGTGTTGTAGGCGCCTTGTTTGATTCTTTTGGGTTCATAGTTATTGAAAATGTTTCCTCTTGTTCTCTGTTGATTATTTCTAGGTTACGTTGTCGTTTTTGTTTTCCTCAGGTATGAATTGCTTATAATAATGAATCAATTGTCGTATTTGAGATTGTCTTACGTGAATTCTTGTTCTGTTGATTATGCAAGAATGAAGTAACGTTGCTAATTAGGTTAGAGAAAATTAGGGGTGTTACACACCCGTTGCACAGCTTATTTACGCCTTTGATTGCTGGCAAACCATGCACCATCTCCTGCCTATGTAATTTTTGTAGAGCAGGAAAGTTTAAGTGCCCGTACCTTGTCCTCCCTGTGTAATTTTTGTAGAGCAGGAAAGTTTAAGTGCCCGTACCTTACCAAACCGTGCACCATCTCCTCCCTGTGTAATTTTTGTAGAGCAGAAAAGTTTAAGTGCCCGTACCTTGCCAAACCGTGCACCATCTCCTCCCTATGTAATTTTTGTAGAGCAGGAAAGTTTAAGTGCCCATGTGTAATTTTTGTAGAGTAGAAAGTTTAAGTGACCGTGTGTAATTTTTGTAGAGTAGGAAATTTTAAGTGCCCGTATGTAATTTTTGTAGAGCAGAAAAAGTTTAAGTGCCCGTGAGTAATTTTAGTAGAGCAGGAAAGTTTAAGTGTCCGTGTGTAATTTTTGTAGAGAAGGAAAGTTTAAGTGCTCGTGTGTAATTTTTGTAGAGCAGGAAAGTTTAAGTGCCCGTGTGTAATTTTTGTAGAGCAGGAAAGTTTAAGTTCCCGTGTGTAATTTTGAGCAGGAAAGTTTAAGTGCCCGTGTGTAATTTTTGTAGTGCATGAAAGTTTAAGTGCCCGTGTGTAATTTTTGTAGAGCAGGAAGGTTTAAGTGCCTATGTGTAATTTTTATAGAGTAGGAAAGTTTAAGTGCCCGTGTGTAATTTTTTTAGAGCAGGAAAGTTTAAGTACTCGTACCTTGCGTGCCACCTCCAAGATACCTCTTCGGTCTTGGCCGAGAGGATGACGGGTTGCTCTATCTCCAACTCCAGNATGTAAAGACGAGAATGATGGGTTGCTCTATCTCCAACTCCAGGATGTAAAAACGGAACACTTGCTCCTCCTTTAGTTGAATTGGCTAGTGCCCGTGTGTAATTTTTGTAGAGCAGGAAAGTTTAAGTGCCCGTGTGTAATTTTTGTAGAGCAGGAAAGTTTAAGTGCCCGTGTGTAATTTTTGTAGAGTAGGAAAGTTTAAGTGCCCGTGTGTAATTTTTGTAGAGCAGGAAAGTTTAAGTGCCCGTGTGTAATTTTTGAAGAGTAGGAAATTTTAAGTGCTCGTGTGTAATTTTTGTAGAGCAGGAAAATTTAAGTGTTCGTGTGTAATTTTTGTAGAGCAGGAAAGTTTAAGTACTCGTACCTTGTGTGCCACCTCCAAGATACCTCTTCGGTCTTGGCCGAGAGGATGACGGGTTGCTCTATCTTCAACTCCAGGATGTAAAACCGGAACCCTTGCTCCTCCTTCAGTTGAATTGGCTAGTGCCCGTGTGTAATTTTTGTAGAGCAGGAAAGTTTAATTGCCCGCGTGCAATTTTTGTAGAGTAGGAAAGTTTAATTGCCCGCGTGCAATTTTTGTAGAGTAGGAAAGTTTAANTGCCCGTGTGTAATTTTTGTAGAGTAGAAAAGTTTAAGTGCTCGTGTGTAATTTTTGTAGAGCAGGAAAGTTTAAGTGCCCGTGTGTAATTTTTGTAGAGCAGGAAAGTTTAAGTACTCGTACCTTGCGTGCCACCTCCAAGATACCTCTTCGGTCTTGGCCGAGAGGATGACGGGTTGCTCTATCTCCAACTCCAGGATGTAAGAACGGAACACTTGCTCCTCCCCGTGTGTAATTTTTGTAGAGCAGGAAAGTTTAAGTGCCCGTGTGTAATTTTTGTAGAGCAGGAAAGTTTAAGTGCCCGTGTGTCATTTTTGTAGAGCAGGAAAGTTTAAGTGCCCGTCTGTAATTTTTTTAGAGCAGGAAAGTTTAAATACTCGTACCTTGCGTGCCACCTCCAAGATACCTCTTTGGTCTTGGCCGAGAGGATGACATGTTGCTCTATCTCCAACTCCAGGATGTAAAGACGAGAATGACGGGTTGCTCTATCTCCAACTCCAGGATGTAAAAACGGAACACTTGCTCCTCCTTTAGCTGAANTGGCTAGTGCCCGTGTGTAATTTTTGTAGAGCAGGAAAGTTTAAGTGCCCGTGTGTAATTTTTGTAGAGCAGGAAAGTTTAAGTGCCCGTGTGTAATTTTTGAAGAGCAGGAAAGTTTAAGTGTCTGTGTGTAATTTTTGAAGAGTAGGAAAGTTTAAGTGCCCGTGTGTAATTGTTGTAGAGAAGGAAATTTTAAGTGCCCGTGTGTAATTTTTTAGAGCAGGAAAGTTTAAGTGCCCGTGTGTAATTTTTGTAGAGCAGGAAATTTTAAGTGCCCGTGTGTAATTTTTGTAGAGCAGGAAAGTTTAAGTGTCCGTGTGTAATTTTTGTAGAGCAGGAAAGTTTAAGTACTCGTACCTTGCGTGCCACCTCCAAGATACCTTTTCGGTCTTGGTCGAGAGGATGACGGGTTGCTCTATCTCCAACTCCAGGATGTAAAAATGGAACACTCGCCTCCTCCTTCAGTTGAATTGGCTCTCCCCCCAACGGTGCCTTTTTCTATGCCTCATGCTGTCGTCCCTCTCGCCGATCTGAGCGAACACTCGCCTCCTCCTTCAGTTGAATTGGCTCTCCCCCCAACGGTGCCTTTTTCTATGCCTCATGCTGTCGTCCCTCTCGCCGATCTGAGCGAACACTCGCCTCTTCCTTGAGTTCGAGGCTCATCAGAGGAGGCAGTTACGTCGTCGTCGATTACCTCCACCTCCGTGGATTTGGAACCAAAATTGGGGACGTCGGATAAGACCGGTGCACTTACTTACCATTAAGAGAGAGCTGGCTTTCCATGGCTTCTTACCGCCTTTACGGCTGGAGGGCCCGTTTCTCTTGTCGATGTTGTTGTGGAGCGTAAGTCATTCCTCCTCAGTGAGGAGTAGAGGATCATCCTTATCATTCAAGTCAAGCAATGTCTTGATTGAAATCGCGACTTGCGCGAGGTGATCGAGGATGACCTACAACATCTTCTTCTACTTGAACCTAAGACCTGTGTGTTGCTAGGTCGATTCTCTAACTACTTGAGCTATTTAACTTAACTGTTAATAAAGTTGGCTCCTACCCAATGATATACATCGATGGCTTAAACCAGGCTCTGATACCACTTGTTGACTTCTGGCCATTGAGAGGAAAAAGTGGACGAGAAGGAAAACTTCTTCCAAGAAAAAAAATAATGGAAAATAAAAGAGATAGATATTTGCGGAAGACACGATGATTTATTTGATTTAGTTTAACATATTTAAATAACAAACCTATCCTAAATTGGGCACAAACTTTGGGCAAAAAGTTCCAAAATGGCCAACAAAAATGATGCTCTTCTATTAAATGGGGAGCTTGAATTCAGATTTTTCAAGTAAAAAAAAAAACTGACCAGATCTAATGGAACCATAGCTTTTATCTAACAATATACATTTGTGGTCTAGGAATAGTGCTCTTCAAATGCAAAACAGATGAGCACTTGATCTTATCGCAAATCTATTACATATCTAAACTCAAAAGCAATATAATAAGTTTGGGACAACTGGACGAGAGTGGAAATAAAATTGTCATAGAGGGCGGTGTGATGAAGATATTTGACAGGGTTATGAGCCTGATTATTATGGTGACCAGACAATCCAACAGATTGTATGTAGCAAAGTCGAAGCTTGCGGATCAGGTGTGTTTAATGACAAATATCAGTAATGGTGGTTGGCTCTGGCACGTGAGGTATGGACAGCTAAATTTCACTCTTTAAAGCAATTAAATGACAAAAGAATGGTTGAAGGGTTGCCAAAAATCACCCAGGTCAATCAATTATGTGATGGGTGTTTAATTGGAAAGTAGCGTAGGACTCCTTTTCCGCGAACAACAACATATCGTGTGAAGGTGTCATTGGATCTCATCATGGAGATCTATGTGGACCTATTTCGCCAATGACTTATGGAGGTAACAAATATTTTATATTACTAGTGGATGATTTTTCACGATTTATGTGGGTGTTTATCTTGAAAAATAAGAATGAAACACTGGTGGTATTTAAAAAGTTCAAGAGCACTGGAGGTAGAGAAAGACAAGAAGATTAGGAGCTTTAGAACGGACTGTTGAGGAGAGTTCATATCTACTGCTTTTAAAGACTATTGTGAGAATGAAGACATGAAGAGCTTACTGCACCATTTTTACCACAGCAAAATGGCGTAGTAGAAAGGCGTAATCAAACGGTTATAGAGATGACCAGATGTATGTTAAAGAGCAAAGAGATGCTTGCAAAATTTTGGGGAGAAGCTGTCAAAGCTGTCGTGTATATTCTGACCAGATCGCCAACAAAAGGAGTTGCAGATGGTACACCGTATCAAGCTTAGTTTAACAAGATACCAAAGGTTCATCACTTTAAAATCTTCCGGTGTTTTGCTCATGCCAAGAAAACATATTCACAGCTTCCTAAACTTTCATCTTTCGTCTTTACAGTTTCATTCTTCTTTCGTTTTTTCTTCTTTCCTTCCACTTCAATCTCATTCTTGTTTCTTACCGTTCAATCTGGTAAAGGAGAATGAGCTTCTCTTTCTTGACTTACTAATAGGAGTGTGAAGACAATTATGTTGGGATATGAAGATGGAACCAAAGTTTACCGACTATTGGATCCACAAAAGAACAGAATTATGGTGAGCAGGGGTATGTTGTTTATGAGGAGAAAAAGTGGTGTTGGGAAGAAATCACAAATGGTGATGATGAACAAAGAGGAACTTTCACCGTTCAAATTTCAGAAAAACAGAGGAGAGGAATATTGAACAAATCAAAGTTGATCTAGATGAAAGGCAAAGGGAAAATTCATCTCAACTTTATCAATGCCAGACATTACCTCAAATGCATCATCATCATGCTCGTCGAC